TTGAAGGGCTTGAGTGAGTTGAAGGTCTTGGAGTTGAAGAAATCTCGGAGTGAGTTGAATGTGTCTTGGAGTGAGTTGAAGGGGTCTTGGAGTGAGTTGAAGGAGTGTTTTGGAGTGAGTTGAAGGGGGCTTGGAGTGAGTTGAAGGGTCTTGGAGTTGAAGAAATCTCGGAGTGAGTTGAATGTGTCTTGGAGTGAGTTGAGGGGGTCTTGGAGTGAGTTGGAGGGGTCTTGGAGTTGAGGGGGTCTTGGAGTGAGTTGAGGGGGTCTTGGAGTGAGTTGAAGGGGTCTTGGAGTGAGTTGGAGGGGTGACTGTCTTAATACAACGCCACTGTACTCACCTAGTTGTACTCACCTAGTTGAGGTTGCGGGGGTCGAGTCCGAGCTCCTGGCCCCGCCTCTTCACTGATCGCTACTAGGTCACTCTCCCTGAACGTGAGCTTTATCATACCTCTGCTTAAAGCTATGTATGGATCCTGCCTCCACTACATCGCTTCCCAAACTATTCCACTTACTGACTACTCTGTGGCTGAAGAAATACTTCCTAACATCCCTGTGATTCATCTGTATCTTCACTTCCAACTGTGTCCCCTTGTTACTGTGTCCAATCTCTGGAACATCCTGTCTTTGTCCACCTTGCCAATTCCTCTCAGTGTTTTGTATGTCGTTATCATGTCCCCCCTATCTCTCCTGTCCTCCAGTGTCGTCAGGTTGATTTCCCTTAACCTCTCCTCGTAGGACATACCTCTTAGCTCTGGGACTAGTCTTGTTGCAAACCTTTGCACTTTCTCTAGTTTCTTCACGTGCTTGGCTAGGTGTGGGTTCCAAACTGGTGCCACATACTCCAATATGGGCCTAACATACACGGTGTACAGGGTCCTGAATGATTCCTTATTAAGATGTCGGAATGCTGTTCTGAGGTTTGCCAGGCGCCCATATGCTGCAGCAGTTATTTGGTTGATGTGCGCTTCAGGAGATGTGCCTGGTGTTATACTCATCCTGTGTGCCAGCGAGTGAATGTAGTTTCCTTTGAGGCTAGCGAGGGGTTCTTCATCCATGGTAGTGGAGATGAACTCCTCTTCCTTGGATCAGACTTTCTATTTCACAGGTGATGTGTGATTCTTCGGGTTTATGGATTCCCCCACCCACAGTTACTCTCCCCTCACATTCCCCCCCACCCACAGTAACTATTCCCCACCCACAGTAACTCTTCTCCACCCACAGTAACTCTTTCCACACCCACAGTAACTCTTCCTCACCCACAGTAACTCTCCCCCTACATACCCCCACCCACAATTCTTATCATGGCAGAATAGTCATCAATGCGCCAGAAAATACGCAAAGAAGTGTCGAATATCATATAAAAAATGGTACAAAGTATCGACAAGCTGATAAATAAGACACATATGCAATTCTTGGAGGATTCCTCGTGTTGCACATGTGTCTTGCTCATGTGTCTTGCACATGTGTCTTGCTCGTCAGGAACCAAGTTAGTCCTCTTAACACGTTATCGTTTTTACGAACATTTATTCAAGAGTTATGTAATTAGGCAGAAACGTTGGTCTGGAGTCTTACTACTCTCTAGCCACGAGTTCAGTTCCCGCCCGTACCGTGGTTAATGAGGCAAAGTAAGAGGGAACGGAATTGGTAGAAAGCACCGATATAATATTGTAAAATATCAGACCGATAACACAGTAAAAACCCGCACGTAGGAGAGAGAAGTTTACGTCGACGCTTCGGTCTGATTTGTACCATTTATTTGTGTATTATTCCAGTCACAGTATTGTACCTTTTTCTTCTTTATCGGACCAATAAAAACCACACACACAAAAAAAAAAGATTCAGACAGGAGGGAAAAAATGTCAGATTTAAGACATTTACGTTCACATTCTGAGGGTCAGTGCCTTGGATGGAGCCACGGACCCTCAGAATGTGAGATGAGTGCCACGGGACATCCATACAGATGAGTGGAATAAACATTTAGGCATCGTCACGGGTGGAGAGAAAGGCTGTGAGTCTCACAACATAGCATCATAAATTACGATATAAACATCAAACAATTATATCTCAATTATCAGAAATTGCAACAATAAACATCAAAATTTTCAACTTGAGCTAAAAAGAACAAAAAAAAAAAAAAGGCAAATAACCCGCACATAGGAAAAGGGAGACTACGACGACGTTAAGTTCCGACTCGGACCATTTAGAAAGTCACAGTGAGACTTTGTAAATGGTCCAAGACATAAATAAAGTAGCTTCAATTCTTCGTTATAACTCTGGTAAAGGTTTACGGTTATTTATCTTTTCATGTAACATCATCGAAGCTTTATACGAACCAGCTGGCAGCTTTATACGAACCAACTGGCAGCTTTATACGAACCAACTGGCAGCTTTATAGGCACCATCTGGTAGCTTTATAGACACTGCCGTAGGCCTACGGCAGTGTTTCTCTATCATATGGCCTTACGTCCTCTCTCTCCTCAGCCCCTCAATCCTACGCA